TTACGACTGGATTAAAAAATATAAGTTAAGTATAGAAAATATCCCTAAAATTTGTTTATAGTGCATATCACATCTACATCCTAAAATTTCAATTTAGTACAAATAAGAAATTTAAATCTTAAATTGACTAAATTATTCTTACTCAACCATTTTATAAAAAATATAAAAATAAATAATTTTGTAAAACGATTAATAAAAATATTATTTGAGGACGCTCCTCACGTGTTAAAAACACCCCTAAATTTTTATTTTGATACAAATAGATCCTTCGAATAAATTTAAACTCTAAGTTAACTAAATTACCTTTATTAAACTATTTTATAAAATATATAAAAATAAAATTAAAATAAAATAAAAATAAAAATAAAATAAAAAATAAAGCAAAAAAAAGTGCAAACTAAAACAAACAAATTTGTTCCAAATTCCGAAAATCATTACACACTAATATTAGGATTTTTTTTCTTTTTTAAAAAATTTACGAATACAAAAAAAAAAAAAAAAAATAGTAAAAAACACTAAGTATGGAGGTGATGGGTTTAATATATTGAAGGTGAGATATGTCAACTTGTTGATTGAACTTATCCATATGAAATCATGGATATGTTCTATCTAGTATCTATCTCAGAGTAGCTGTCAAAGTGCGTCTCTTCACAATCACAAAGGGACGTAAACTCCAACGGTCGATTAACATACCAAAACATATCAATCCAAAGGTCTCTTCTTATCTTCTTCACCCTGCATAGTAAACCAAACGGTAGTTTATCTTTTTGCATACCAAAAAGGCCCCAGAAGGCATGTGCGTTGTAGACCCGGATAGATTTCGGTCCCACAAAGGTTTGAAATTAAAGATCAATCGTGGAATAAGAGTTAAATATATGCAATATGTTTCAATATTCTTTCCTATAAAATAATGTTGTTATGTATAATGTGTAAATTTTTTTTTTTTAATTTTTTTTTATTATGTTTGTTAAGATATATGGTTGTGTCATCAATATGTAAAATTATTAAATATTTTATCCAATTTTTTTATACAGCCACATCATTATATTTCTTTTATCCTTCTTATTTCTTATTTTATTAACTAATCAACCCTATATGAAATAGATTTGTAAAAATTATATGGAGTTCATATATAATACTGGAAGTGAGGTTTAGACATGATACTAATTGGTTATCATTGGAAAAAGTAGGTTGGGGTTCAAATGATCGTCAAATTGTAACCCCATTATTTTTCTAGTGAAAATCACAAGCTTTAATTACGACTGGATTAAAAAATATAAGTTAAGTATTGAAAATATTCCTAAAATTTGCTTATAGTGCATATCACATGAATATCCTAAAAAATTTGGTGCAAATAAGAAATTTAAACCTTAAATTGACTAAAAAAATTTTACTGAACCATTTTATAAAATATATAAAATAAATAATTTTGTAAAATGACCGATAAAAATATTATTGGAGGACGTCCCTCGCGTGAAAAAAAAACACCTAAAATTTCAATTTGGTACAAATAGGCCCTTCTAATAAATTTAAATCCTAATTTGACTAAATTATCCTTATTAAACTATTTTATAAAATATATAAAACTAAATAATTTTGTTAAATGACTGAAAAAGATACTATTGGAGGACCCCGGTAATAGACAAGTAAAGATAAAAATAGAAAATAAAAATAAAAATAAAATTATAAAAGTAAAGTAAAGATAAAAATAAAATAAAAAATAAAGCACAAACTAAAGAAAACAAATCTGCTCCAAATCCCGAAAACCATTGCACACTAATATTGTAATTTTTTTCTTTTTAAAATTTTTTTTTTTAACAATGTTGCTACGAAAAAAATAAAATAAAGGAAAAAAAATTAGTAAAAAATACTAAAACTAAAATCTCAACAAATTCAAATCCTTATTCTACAAATTCTCAAAGTATCAAAAAAAAAAAAAAAAAAAAAAAAAAAAAATGGAAGAAGATAATGTGCACATAACACCCCAAAACGGATATTACATCACTAATTTATATCAGAATGGATATTTGTATATAATATGAAAAGATTATGGGTATTTTTTAACGACAAAATTTAACCCCAAGAACATATACAAATTGTATACAATTTACCAAAGGGCATTTGGCCCAATGGTATAACCTCTCCATCTTTAAAGAAGAGGGGAGGGGTTCGAACCTCAGCGTGGGCAAAAAAGTGTGTGTGTGTTTGCTTTACCATCTAAAAAAAAAATTGTATACAATTTCAATAGTTAAAGCCCTTGTTTGAGCTCATGTTTCTAAAATAATATATTTACTAAGTTGATTTTAAAGCCAGCAAAGAAACAAATTAGAGCTGATGAATAATTAAATTAAAATTTTATTACCAAATTGTGGATATTGCTCAATAAGAAGTCTTTTGGCAAACTTTGAATTAAGAGGATTTAATAACTATATTGATTGGCTAAAAAATACATTTACATAACGAGGAAAAGTCGGCTTAAATCCTTTTAATTTATATAATAACATAGAAGAAACCTAACCAACTTGTGTTGCCTTTGTTATTGGTTTCCAGATTAACGGTCAAACTTTAGGTATGTTCAAAGAATAATAAATTTAGGGGGACAATTCATGTCTGTCATAATCGTGTTAATTTTAAAATATTCTATTAAATAATTTAATCCGAACATAACTCACATGTCAAAAACTCTGTGTGTTTATATGTAACTCGTTTAATGAACTATTTGTTAAAATAAAAAATTAAATTATTTAAATTATTATTATTATTATTATTTTCAGTTAACTCGGGATGATACGAACCCTTAGGGTCTCTACACAACCTGATTAATTCTCAAGGACCCCACTCAGGCCGAGAAAGTCACTACAAGGACAGCAGAGGCTAGCTACAAATAATACCCAGCGGAACTCGAACCCCAGACTTTAGACTTGTTAAGCTCTAAAGTTTTGCGAGTAAACCACTGGTCATATCCGAAGTGGATTATTATTTAAATTGTTAATAATAATCAATCAAACAACAAATACATATAAGTTTTAATTCAATCAAATTACTGAATAGTCTCTAGCCTACAAGTAAATTATATGACACTAGTAATTTTAGAATTTAAATATAAATTTATTTATGACAAATATAGTTAATAAGTTACACGAATTGAATCATCTCAATCTAAATAAGACACGATTAACAAAACGAGTTAATCATATTTTTACGATCCAAATTTATTTAAGATCAACCCAAATATGTTTAATCCGTATTGTCTACATATCCTATTGACAAGTCATTTGAAACTTTGACACCCCTAAATAAAATAATTTGTAGACACTAAAATTTTGGTGAGCTTTAGTTTTGACAAATGGACCCATTAAATATGGGCGTAATGTTTAATTAAGTTATTTAAGTGGTCCAAACTTGGTCCACTTAAATTATTTAATTAGCCGAGTCCAAATGGTTAAATAAAAAGATAATTATTCCTAATAAAATATATTTGGAATAATTATTTTTAAGGATAGTTATCATAATATAACCGGCCCGGCCCAGTTATTATTTTATCATTATCAGGAGATAACACATGTCATCATCCTATTAATCCAAGAAGCCTATAAATATAGGCTTGAAGGAAGAAAGAAGGTACACAAAATTCAGAGTCTAGAAATCCAAAAACTCAGAAATTCAGAAATTGAGGAAATCAGAAATTTAGAGGGCAATCCTAAAGGCGAAGAACACCAAGCACATCCAAAGTCGTGCCGTTCTTCACCAAATTCAACAAATCCTCTATGAAGATGAAGAACAACAAGCACATCAAATCGTGTCGTTCTTCATCCAAATTCAACGGTGATCAACAACAAGCACAGCCATAGACGTGTCGTTCTTCATCCAAATTCCACAGTGATTCAAGATCAATCTTGTGCAACCCTTGGATCACCGTGGAATTTGGATGAAAAACGGCACGATTTGATGTCCTTTTTGTTGATCACCGTAGAATTTGGATGAAGAACGGCACGATTTGATGTGCTTGTTGTTCTTCGTCTTCAGAAAAGATTTGTTGAATTTGGTGAAGAACGGCACGACTTTAGATGTGCTTGGTGTTTTTCGCCTTCAAGTTTGCCCTCTGGCCCTCTGGATTTCTGGCCCTCTAGATTTCTGATCTCTCAATTTTTGAACCTTCTGGATTTCTGAGTTTCTGAATTTCTGGATCCTGAATTTGTGTACCCCTTTCTTCTTCCTTCAGGCCTCTATTTATAGGCTTATTAGATTAATAGGATGATGACACGTGTCCTCTCCTGATAAAAAAAAATTATAACTGGGCCGGACCGGTTATATTATGATAATTATCTTTAAAAATAATTATTCAAAATATATTTTATTATGAATAATTATCTTTTCATTCAATCATCTTGTTGCGCTAGTTAAATAATTTAAATAAAAATTTGGATCAATTAAATAACTTAATTAAATATTAAACTCATATTTGATGGGTCAATTTGTCCAAACTAAAATTCATTAAAATTTTAATGTCTACGTAAATAAATTAGAGACGGCGGGATGTAAAGGCTACAAGACAGAAGGTAATGAAAAAACCCAACAGATGCCAACCCTACACTCTTACTCCCAGACACAATTATTATATTGAAGTGGTCCGGTGGCCTATTGAGTATTTAACTATTTATCATTAAAAATAACAAAATAAAAAATTAAAAAAAAAAAGAAAAAAAGAATCAAAGTAGGACAAAAATACAATTCATACAAGTCCAAAAGAACAACGTGAAAAGCAAACCAAAATATAACTAAAACCCTATTTTACCCCTCCATAGATTGTGTTATGCCTTTCATCTTGATCTCTAACTGTTACCTTATCCTTATGAGAAACAACAGTTACTTGATGAGTAGCTCTTTCCACACACCGATTTTCTCGAAAGTGTTCGAAGGAATGGACTGGATACAGACATATATAACATATTATATAAATATATATATATGTATGTATGTATGTATATGTACATTTGACATTATTTGAGTAAAGTGCTCTCACAACGTTAACTTGCATTATTAGTGCATCAAGCAATTCTTCAACACATCCAAACACATCTGGTTTTTGTTTTTTTTTTCTTCGAGGCTCATGTTTTTTGAATAGAATAAAACCAAGAAAAAGAAGAAAAACATACATGCTAACCAAAGTACACCTATAAAAATTAACCTGGTTGTGTCCTTCACATATTTTGCTTGGCTTCCATCTCGGCTTGCTCTCTAAATTTCTTATATATATCCCCTTTGTAGAAATCACGAGTTCTAATTACCAAAATGAATGAAGCAAGTGCTCCAAAACATGTAACACTTGCCAAGATTATAAAAGGAAGCCTATAACACCCTGAACCAATACAAGTCAATTCCTTCACCGACGCTCTAGTCAGTCCTTTTCTCCCAAGCTCCTTCAATGCCTCTTGATCGTAAAGATGTCCCGTGATCTTCACATTCAGTATATATGAGCCCAAAGGACTGGCCACTTGTCCACAATTGAATAATGTTGAGTAATACTTTAGGCCGAAGAGCTCAGATATGATTGCGAAAAGAAGGGGCAATTGTGCTCCGAATGAGAATCCAATGACTAATGAAGCTACGTAGACTGAACCGGGGAAAGGAAAGGCAATGAGGAGGTGTCCAGCACAGGCCAAGAAAAGAACCAGAGTCATCATGAGTGGCCTGGGAAATTTGTACTTGACAAGGAGATGTTCGGAGACGAAGCCGGCAAAGATCCGCCCAAAAAAGTTCCATATGCTTACAAGAGACACAAAGGTCTTGATGGTTTTTGTTGGATATCCCAGTGATTCTCCAATCTGACCCAAGTTGTCCACTGCAGTTAAGCTTGACCCAAGTCCACAAAAAGTTGCCAGGAATAGAATTAGCATGTCTATGCTAAGAAGTGCCTGTAAAATTGTGTAATCTTCTCCTCTTTCTGGTTTATTGAATATATCTTGGTACCAAGCTGGCGTGGACGACTCTGGCTTCACCGCCGACAACGATTCCGATTTCACCACTGTTGGATTCTCAACAGTGGTTTTATTTTGGTTCCAGAAAACATGTTCTTCTCTAATGGCAATCAAGAGAGGGACAAAGAGCAAGAGACAGACAACGGTGGCACTACCAGCATAAGCACCTCTTGGAAAAGATACTAATTTTTGTGCAATGGTCATGGCCATGATAAACAATGCTGTCCCAATTGATATATATAGGAATTGATAAAAGACTCTGAGCTCATTAGGCTGCCTAATCATCTTCATGGGCCGGATTGTGTATACGAAAACCAGAGACAAGGCAGCCGGAAGCCACCCAATGAGGAGGATGAGAGACTTGGAGTCATTTCCATAGCAGGCCAAATAAATCTGTGTCATGATAGCTCCACTTAGGCCAGTGTATCCTTTCAACAAACCTATCATGATGCCTCTGCTTTCAGGGAAGTTTCTAACGGAAGTGACAAGAGCACCTGTGTTAGCAAAGTTTTGAGAATTGGCTCCAATGCATATGTAGATGCACATCTGCCACACTTTTGGCTTGGCGATTTTGCCGGTAACGGCTAGCCATATCATGAAATAGCCTGTGAAATTCAAGGCTGCACCCATTACCAGAACGAACCATGTCGGAGTTACCTCGGCAATGAGGCCTGAGAGGACCCCAACATTGGCACCAAAATCTTTGAAAAAGCCAAGCAGGTTGAGAGTTGTTTGATCATAACCCAGAGAAGCTTTTATTTCTTTGGAGTAGGTTCCGAAAAGATAAGTGGCACCAGCCATAGACATGATCAGAAAGGAGGCGAACAGGGAGAACCATCGTCCTCGGAGAACATGGACGACGAATCTGGAGCCTCCTCCGGCGCTGCCAGACCTTGACCCGGACATTGAAACCTCACACATATCCTCCTCCTCCTTCTCCCCCTACTCCAAAATGATATAAAAATTTAAGGTCATGGAAAACAAGGTATAAAGAGCAGAGAATTTATAGATACATATATTTAGGACATATGAGTTGGGTGTTGAAAGATAATTAATTGTGGTGGTGGTGGTGGGGTAGGAGAATTCGGAGAATGAAAAGACAACCACCTTGGAATGATAAGAAGAAAACATGGCCAGTAAATTAGCAACATTGAAGTTTGGGTGAGTTGTTTTGTACTAATTGTTTTCCCACCGGAGCTAGGAGGGCAAACTGGGTAAGCTATTTTTGATTTCTCTGCGAAGAGTGCTTGTGGGTGAGAAACCTTTTCCTCGCCGCATTTTTTAGCGGAAATCATTATCCTTTACAAAAAGTGTAAGGATAAAATTGTCTGGACACTATTTTAAGGACCCAATCAGGCAACTACAAGTTTTACATTAGCATTTTATTTGCAGATGTGGTTTGAAGTTGCTATTTGCCAGGAACCAAATTGGCAACTACAATACCATTTTATTTGAAGACCTCGTTTGACCAGGAACCAAGTTGGCAACTACAATACCATTCTAAATGAACACCCTTCGTTTGAAGTTATTGTTTATTAAACTGAGCATAGATGTTGGTGTAATTTGAATTTGGATATATATGTAAATAAATTAAATTATAAGTTCGCAATTTTAATTAACAAAGATAAATTGTTAATGTGAATGTATATGTATTAAAACTTCTTAGTAAAATTAGGAAATATAACCACGTACATGTGTTTGGAAACGGTGAAAATTAAAGAAAGATAGAAAATAATATGGTGTGATAATTTTTTCTGGTCAATAGGTTCTCTTAATCGTAATATTTCTGAAATTCGCCATTTTTCATTTTTCTTGAAAATTTTTTTTCGTGCAAGGACATTCTCACAGTTTTCTCATTTTGCGTGCCAGACACCGTGGAGTGTGCCGGTTGTGTCCGAGAGTTGGTTGGATAATTCATTGAGTCCAGGACTCTTTGAAATGTCAAGGTTGCTATTTTTGTATTTTTTTATTTTTCGGGCCGAACTGTCCCGTGTAGGACCCGCTACCGGAATTGTTGCGGACAGAGATTTTTAGTTGGGTCCATTTGCACCTCAAGCATCTTATTTATTATATTTATGTGGATGCGAATTATTAAATGTGTAAATATAATTGTGGTGTAAAAAAAAAAGTTAAAAAGAAAAATTCTAAAAAAAAAGGGTAGTGGGACCCACCACCCATTTCATATTTTTAATGGCATAAGGCCATTTGGTAGGCCTCATTTTCTCACTCCCTCACGCTGCTTTCTCTTCTCTTTCCCTTTATCTCATTTTTTTTTTTTCTTTCCAAGCAAATCTTTAAACTTAAATTTCTCCCTCAATTTTTGGTATTTTTGGGAGCCGTTTGCGACAAAACGGAGAGCGTGTCGAGATCTTCGATTTGATCAAAGTAAAGGTGGTTTTGGTGCACCCTAAGAATTTCAAATTTTAGTGTTTGGATTCTACAAATTGGGGGTTTTTGCAATTTTTGGAGGTAGGGGTTTCTAATTCACAATTTTCTTTGACTTTTGTGAGTTTTCTTATAAAAGTTGTTAAGTTCTTTACTAAATTATGAGTATTGTTTATGGTTATAGATATTTTATGTATAATGAGCATAATAATGTATATAATGTGTTGAAAGTGATAGAAATTACTTATATTGTTTATTGATTTTGATTATATGTACTTGAATGCTTGAATATCAAATGCAATGTTGTCAAAATTGTTAATTGAGAGTTTATTAATTTAATTTTCCCAAAAGCATGCAAATGAGATATAGATGAATTGTATGGAATTGTAAACTTGACATGGTTTGGTGATCAAAGCATGAAACATTCATGCATTGCATTGGGCAAGAAAGTGAAAATTTGTTTTGAAATGAAATGTAATAAAATAATTTTGGGAAAATTGTTTTGAAAAGTGTTTATGAAAACCGGACGCCTAGGAGGCGCCTAGTGGTCCGTGGTGTTTGTGTAGTCTAGAGAGGACTTTGGATTGAATTAACTAGGCCGGATGCTACGTCTTGGAGGTGCCTTGTGGTCGTGGATAGTTAGCCAATCCCCCTTTTCGTGGCGCCTTGGAGGTGCCTTGGGTCGGATTATACTAACGGTTTGGAAGTTGAAACGGTATTGGTTCGGAAATGGGGAGTGACATTGCATGGCATGTCACATCATTGGTATACTTGGTGCATTTGGTAGTTGGTTGATATATGTATATTTGTTGATGATATAGTGGTTTTACTCGACTCCCGAGATATGATCCCGTTTTCACGCTTTCTATTTTCTATGTGGATTCACGGAGTCATAAGAGGTGTGTCTTAGACACCTCCTACTGAGCGTTTAGCTCACCCCATTATTTAACATTTTTCAGGACACGGAAGGGAAGTGGCGGACAACGCTCCTCCACAGGGTTCGATGGGTTAGTAGAACGTTTTGACATACTTTGTAGCTATGATCTCATTTTATTACTATTATTTCTTTATTATTATTATTATTATTATTTTTTATTATTTTTTTTTATAAATGCTGGGATGACACGTATATTATGTATTGACATAGGAAATGATGGTAGTACCCTTAATTGACATTGGGTTCGGGTAAGGATCCGGTTAGCGATTCGGACCCTCGGGTTCGGGTCGTTACAAATTTGGTATCAGAGCCTTAGGTTTGAAGACCTAAGGACGATGGGTAGGGTTGACCTAAGTGAGACTTGAGTTGATTTAGAATTATTGCATGTTAAAGTGTTTACTGTATTAAAAAACATGCCTACTTGTTACTTGCTTAAATGTTTACGGCTTTGAAAGACATGCCTTCTTACTAAGTGTTCACATGCTTATGTGATTAAATGTTAAAATATGTGTTACATGGCTATGTATGTGGAATAACTATGTGATAATGATTGAAAGCATGTTATACTTGATAAGATGGAGAGTATGTGATACATGACGGTGGCAAGCAGTAGGCACGGTTGGTGTAATTTTCTTTTATGATATTGTAACAAGTAAAGATCATGATATTGTAGGTTTCATACATTTCGTATATGTATATGTATCTATATTATGTGTTTATGCGGTTGAGCATTAGGATGGTAGCTAGTACGGTAAAGTACTTGTCACGGCATAGATGGTTGTGTAAGTTTTAACCTGAATAGGCGAGGAGCTCGATTGCACCAGGATGGTTGGGTGCCGGTTCTTATCGAACGAATGGCGTGGACTTCTAGCTCGTGGATTGAGCTATTCAGTGTGTAGTCATCTTGATTTTTTCTTGTTACATTTTGTGTGGTGCTTAGGGCATGACTTTAGAACGGGTTCATATTTCATGGCATGGTGTCTTTGTTATGTGTGAGTCTCATGCACCGGTGGATGGGTTCTGTGTGATCGTGGGGTCAGGTGTGCGAGTGAGGGTTTCGAGGGAGAAAGGTATGACCTTAGGAGGTTAGTGTTTGTGACTTGGGTCACGGTTTGGTATGGAGGTTCTTTTCGAACCGGTCGTGGTAGGTGTGACAGAGGTTAGTTGAGTCACGAATGTGGTCTATGGGTTGTAGGTGAATGTCACGAGTGTTCTAGTGCGGTCTAAGAAAGTGTATTGGTTACGGTTGGTTGAGAGGTGATTCCCATTCTGGGAAATTACGGGAGTGTGTTGCATGTAATCGATTCTCAGTGGGTTAATTGTATGGCTCGGCTGGTGAGCAGGATTAGGTTGTTACGATTGTTGAGAAAGTCTCGAGGTGGTGTATAGTAGTTAGTCTTAGCTGTGTAGTGCATGAATGTAATGACCCGGTATTTTTCCTTCCTTTCCTTCTTTTCAAATTTTACGAATTTTTTTTTTTTTTTTTTCTCTCTCGTTGTCTTTCCTTTCTGAGTTTGGTTTCTTGTTGATTAGTGTCGTCTCGAGTACTCTGGAATGATTTTCGAGACTCATTTGTATGGATTGACAACTTCCTTTGAGGACCGAGTCATTTCCATATTTTTTGTTTTTCGACACTATTCACTTTTTTTGTCCTTTTCCCTATTTCGTCTTTTCTCTTGTTTTGTCTTTTCCCCGTTTGTGACTTTGTTTGCATAACCACACTTCTTGTGTTCAGAGTTGGTTTTTGACTTCACGTATCTTCATCTTGAGTGGTTTCCATGAAATACGTAACTTTACTTTTGCAAGAAAGTACTCTGGTTGCTCCCGGTGTCCGTAGGGGCATGGATGCAAAGTTCTTTGGAATCTTTTTCTTTTCTTGGGGGTGCTTTTCGTAAATATCTTTTGAAGATATTTTATTTCAGGGGTTTTTAAGAAAATATTTTTGGAAGATATTTTCATTCTGGGCCATAAGTGCAGTTTTCACTTTTTGGAGGGGCCATTGTGCAATTAATGAAAGTTATTGCAAAATGTCTTGTTTTGAGCCTGGATTCTCGTACGGGATTCATTTTCACATTTCGTCGAGTTGTGTACTCTTGGAATTTCCTCCTGATCGATGTTTCTAGTTTCAGGGTTTCTGGCCCTAGTTTGCGCCAAACTTGTTTTGGGCATAACTTTCTGCTCGGGACTCAGTTTTTGACGTTGTTTCTTTCATTATTCATATTTTTTCATTTTGAATCTTTTTCATTCATAGAGTTTTTCCATTTGAATGCGTCTGCTCAAATTTCACTTTTTTAGACCCGGCGGGGCCCGTTCGGGGCACTTTTTGAGATTTCTATAAAAGGGGGGTGAGATATTTTATTTTTTCATCTTCCCCACTCTCTTGCACGACCTGAAGCTTCCATGGCAGCCCAAGGGAGGCTGCCACCTTCTCTCTCCTCTTTTGAGCTTCATTCCTTTGTCAGAACATAGTAAGGCCTTTGCATTTTGTGTTCATGTTGACTACGCGCTTCTTTTACCCTTATTAGAACCCATTTCTAACCAAATTTTGAGTTGGGTTTTGAAGTCAAGTAGTGATTTTCATGGGTCCTCTTTGGAGTTTATCGTTCATGGCGTTGTCCCCGACAAAACCTAGTAGTTTCGTCGGATTCGGAGCCATTCCATTTTGATGGCTTTTGAGATTTTCATCTCAAATTGAGGTAGGAGATGTTCTAGGATTTCGTGTGTAATGACCCGGCCCTTTTCCTCCTTTTCCATTTTTGGCGATTTTCTTTTTTCGTCTTTTTCCTATTTTGTCTTTTCCTTATTTCGTCTTTTTCCCGTTTCTTTCATTTTTCCTTGCATAATCTTACTTGTTGTGCTCGGATTTGATTCCGGTTTTGCATGCATTCATGGTATTTAAATTTCATGACATCTACATTTTTACTTTTG